GTATCAACAACGGCTGCTAACAGGTTGTGATGAAGGTAGATGGATGTGAGGAGCTTATATAATCGCTGGTGATGTCATAATTCTGCCTTTGGAGTTACATTGTGATGTCACATTGTGATGTCACAGTTTTATTTCGGATTTTTTATTAACACAGCGGATGCGCCGGACTGCAGAAAGAGTAGGCGGGCTTTTAAACTCTCACTGATTGCCATAGTTACCCACCATTACCTTGTTGTTTGAGAAGGACCTGGCTGCAGAATTTATAAGAAATTTATTTACAAATTTAAAAGAAAAGAAACGCGTCTCAGCCGTTCTTGAAGGGACGTGAGCCCTTCCTACCTGTATGGGAGGAGAGAGCGGCTGGCAGGAGGATTTTTAGGAACGACCCAAAATAACCAAATAGCTCTGGACGATCATAAAACAGACTAAAAAAATGTGATTATTTCTGTTTGAGCGTTGAAAAAGTTTCATCTGGCCAGAGCTTTCCTCCACCTGCAGAGTAAATATTTAACGGGGTGCCTTTTAGGACTGAGGTTCCTTTATAGCAGAGAGACTCAGCTGACCACCAAGAAACCAGAGTGGGGGTAAGGTATGTGGGACAGTTATTAATAACGGCTCATGTGAGAGGTGGGCATTTGTACATTCTGCTTTCCATCAACACAGTGATGGAGATCTGAATAAAGTGTAAACAGAACCAGTCATGGGGGGATCAGATTTCAAGATGAATTACAGTGGGCATTACAGTTGCAAGATTTTTAAATTTACCCAAATTAACTGAATTTATTTGGAAATGAATTACAAGAAGAAGAGAGTAAAAGTCACCTCGATCTTTGATGTATGTTGCGTCAGAAAAAAACGTTCCGTCAATGAGCCATTTTTGCCCCCGTCCAGCCAAATAAAACTCATTTAGAGCCACAAGTTCACAAGAACATTTCCAAAAAAAGACCTACTGCAGGATGATTGTTGTATTGTTTTAAAGAAAAACCATTTTATTTCTACTTTTAAGTTTTAAAATAAAGAAAAATAAAGCTTTTGCAAAATGAGAGCAGCTACATTTTTCTTCCATGAGATGTTATTTTTTTTTTAAATTCCAAACTAATGAGAAAATCAAACAAAATAAAGTATTAGTACTTTTAATGTAATTTTGTTGTGGAATATTAATACAATTATTCAAGAAAAACTGCTAAGTGATGGTTGTTAGATTTTTATTTAAAAGTATCAGTTTTTTTTTTTTTTTTTTTAGCCAGTTAAGAGCCATTATGGGCAGACAAAGAAACATTTTTGTAAACAAAATGGGGAAAAAAAGTGGAATGCATTTGTATTCATCTTAATTCGTTTAAAACCCCAGAATAAAACCAACTGCTTTCAGAGGCAAATTAGTAAATCAGTCGACTAAACTGCAAATTAAGAATGGATGAAATGGACTTTAATCATATTTTCACATTTTTGGGAACTAAAGTCATAAAAGTAATTCTATGCGAATAAGAAGTCTCAGAAGGCTAATTTATGTCCTCATAATAAATTAGCCCAGGCTAAAAGAAACAAGATGATGGTGTGAAGAAGGACTTTATATAAAAACCAAGAAAATTACAGACAACCCTCTTTTTGACACCGTTATAAAAGTCTTCAGTCAGAGGCTTCTTCAGATTTGCTGTAATACTGACTGCTACAGATCCTTCCAGCCATCAGAATCCACAACTCTTTGAAGAAAAATTTCCTGATTAAAATAATTTTTGAATTCAATTTAAATCAAAATTTAATTCAAACTAAACTGAGCTCTAGTATTTATATTTAGCCTGAATTGAAATGAACTTGAATTTATGTTGCTATTCATTAAATCTGAATGAGTTTGAGCTAAACAGCAGTTAGCATAAAGACTTATGCTATGCTGCTATTATTGCAGTAAAGGTTGGCTTAATAGAGCACCATTAACTAGGAGTTAAATTTAAATGCCTATCATTTATTTCTTTGTAAAAACAATTTCTAAAAAACCATGCATCCATTTCTTTCAAAATCAAAATTATATGCTACTTTGTGTTGGTCTACAACATAAAATATTTCAATAAAACACATTGAAATTTTGCAGTTGTAAAGTGTAAAAAATAAGTTTAAGGGCTGCAAATTTTCATGTGAAAACCAAAGAAAGGACACAAAAATGTTAATAAAAACCTTTATTTTTCAGTTTTTGTTAGCTTTTTCAGCGATCGCTTTTTAAGCTTATTGTTTTGCCCATTTTGACCCGTTTAGCTCAATCCCCTAAAGCACCGCTCCAACGAAACCACCTGCAATCACTTTGCCCAGTTACGTACAACCTTAGCAACCCTCTACGATCAAAATAACCACATCAACAACCAGCCGACACCATGGAAGAACACAAGAAAAAAAACAACACAAGACGACGTCTGATTAAGACTGATGGTACCGAATCAAACGCCTGTGTGAACTACCAGCTGAAAGTTTTTAGGGGGAAAAGAAAAATATATGCAGGAACAGAAACTTCACAAACATGGAGTGTTGACAAACCCAGAACTTAAGAGCAAGCTTGAAACTAAAAAAAAAGAAAGAGAGAAAGAAAGAAACCAGCACCAGCTACGCAAGAAACTGTATTTACAAGATAGCTGCAGTTTTTCTTTTTTTGTTCATTGTCAGAATGAGACGGTGGCCAGTGGGACCGGACGCCATTATTACATCATTGGTAAGCTGTGGAACTCATTGTGGTTATAACAAGCAGGTGATCGCATGGAGCTCATACATTCAAGCTATACATATATATCTATGTACACAAAGTATAAATAAAACCACAAAATGAGAACGTGAAGATTACTTACTCTCTTTACATTTTCAACACAAAAGGTACACAATCAATCTGGATAAAAGGTTCTACGGCTACAAATTGGGGAGCCCAATCAAGCAAGTGCTCGTTTATTTGGAGGAGTCGATGTCAATGTGCCCTCCTGTGCGGATTACTTCACATATTAAAAGACAACTAGAAAATCTTCCTATCATCCCAAGCTTGCTCTTAAGGATTTATTACAGGCAACTACAACACCGTTTTTAGTCAAATTGTTTTTTTTCTGTTTTGTTGTTGTACTGTTAACGTACATTCATCTTAAGACGCCTTCAGTCAAAACTCATTAAAAGCTGAAATATTAAAAAGGAAAAACGACGAGGTTTCTATGCAGACAGGCATTTTGATCATAGAGGTCACCGAGGTCATTTATTCAAATGAGGAAAAAAAATACAAGCAGGAGAAAACAGGGGCGATCAAAGATTTAAAGGGGCAGTATCTTTTAACTGATTCTTATACAATTAAACATCTTCAATAGATTACATTTTGGGTTACTGGTTAGGACCTTTTTCATTAATTTATTTTAAACTGGAGTGTTCATATGTGGGAGTGAAACACACCAATTACATGTAAAGGGAAAATAAGATTGCATAGAACAAAAACATTGCTATTTGATGTGGGTTTTTTTTTTTTAAAGACAAAAAAAATTGTTGAGAAAAGATTAACAAAATATCCAGGAAGTGTGGTTCACTCCCACAATTCCCTTTGAATGCCACTGCCTTGGACTCAGTGCTCAATGTGAACCATGCAGGCAGCGCTCAGGGGGAAATCTTACAGATGCTTGCAGACTTGGACTGGAAAAATAGTTTGAGCCCACTCAAGGTTACATATGTGCATGTCTGAAGTTTGTTGCTCTCAAGTTCCAAACATGCAGACATGATGGGAAGAAACTCCTCAGTGGTTAACTAAACGCAGTTCAACACTACCGGTGTTACAATTTAAAAGGCCCTTCTTTAGCGAAATACCATTAAAAGCGTACTGTCTCTTTGAATCCCACTAAATCCCTGGGGTTGGAAATGACAAAAGGGGTCAACTGGTGTCTGCCTTTCGATGTTTCCGCCTGGTCTCACTCTTCCTGCCAACCCTCAGCTCCTCTGAGGCGTCGCTTCAGCCCGATTTGGTTCCGACCAGAGACATCAGTCCATCCGTGCTCATGGACTTGGGGCGCTCCAAGGGGAAGCCGAGGGCTCTGCTCCACACCAGCTGGGCGAGGACGCCGAGAGCGCGGGACACACCGAAGAGGACGGTGTAGTAGTTCATCTCCGTCATCCCGTAGTACTGCACACACACACACACAAATTAGACTGAATACAGCAAATATGGCCGCCATGGCTCACTGCAAAAAACACAAAATCTCACAAAATCTCGTTTTTATCGTTTACTATCTTAGACAAAACTAACCCAGTTAACTTTTTAGCAAGAAATAGAGGCTTGTTTTAAGTACATAATTAACTTAGAACATTTTTCCCATGTTATAAGTTCATTTCTCTGCCAGTAGAACAAGTTCTTTTTCATCAATATTTTTTTTAAGGTTTTAATGNCTCTAGTGGCATTTATTTGATAGTTAATTGACAGGAGGCTTGGTAATGACAGATGGGGAAGGGCAGGGGTCACCAGGCCGAGAATTGAACTTGTGACGGCCGCGTTGGGGACTAGGGCCTCCGCACATGGGTTGTCCTTAACCCCTGCGCCACGACAGCACACCCCTTTTTCATCAATATTAAGGAATTACTTAAAACAAGCCTACACATGTTGCTGAAAAGTTACTTTTGAGTTAGTTTGTCTCATTTCAAGTTTACTAAGATATTTGCACTAGAAACTAAACCAAAAATACTTAATAAAAATTTGTGTTTTTGCAGTGTTAGTTAATTGGAAAAAAGAAAGAAAAAATCACAAACAATTGTCATGGACGGACTGGTCAACGTGAAAAGATGTTCAATATTATCTAACACTACTTACTGTAGAAATGTGAATCTTTCAGTGTGTAATGATTTGATTCAGAAGTTATTTTACAGTCTAGAGATTCTGTTTAAAATATGTGATTGAAAAGAAGAGTGCAAACAAAAAACACTTCAGACAGTTCTGTAAGCTTCCATACTATATCAAATTACATCAGTTTATAAATGACAAAAGCAGATTTGTGCATAAAGCCCTAACCTAAATGATCAGTATTAAGTTAGCTTAGCTTTTTCTTAAATAAAAAAGTGCCAGAGTATTGAAATATGCTGTATAATAGCAAATACAAGCGGCAAAGACGTAGATTTTAAAAACATGTTAAAATCGATTTAGAATTCCCAGAACTAGAAATTGCATGTTTTTTTTTTTGCAGCTCAGCTACGTGAAACTGGGCTGCAAATTACACTCCACACTGTTCAGATTTCATTTCCCTGCTTTACCCAGGTCTGTGTTGGTTTGTCACAGAAAACCTGTCATGCTAACAAATTCAGCTGCACGATAAATTGTCCCAGAAGTTACTTCGATAGACGATAATATTGTTGTTTTGAGACCATCTTTGACTAATGTATTGGTAAAGACAAAAGAATGCAAGAACACTCTCAAAAAGCAACAAACATTAAATTGTAATGAACATTTAACACTGGAACTGGGAGGCATTTTAAACACCAAAGATAAACAAAACAAAATTGTCCTTCAAAAGGGAAAAAGGGAAAGTTGAAACCAAAACATCAACCTGAAATGTTTACCTTCCAGAAAGAAAAGAGAAAAACGATAAATCATGATAATAAAAATTATTGAGCTTGTTTTAATTTATCATGCGATTAGATGATTTATCGATCATTGTGACAGGCGTAGGTGTAACATGGCTGATGAAGTGAGAGGCGCTGTGGACAGCATCTTACCTGCAGAAGGACTCCACTGTGAGCATCCACGTTGGGCCAGGGGTTCTTGGCTTTCCCCTGCTCCAGCAGCACATTGGGTACAATCTTGTAAAGCTGCGCAACCAGCTTGAACATGGGGTCATTGGGCAGATGCTTCAGGGCAAACTCGCGCTGGCAGGTGTAACGCGGGTCAGTCTTTCTTAGGACAGCATGACCGTAGCCTGGAACCACCTTGAAAAAATAAATATGCGACGCGCCTCGTTACACAACCGATGAGATCGCAATCTCCCTGCATGTCGACGCAAACGAAGTCGTGACTGGGTGGGAATGTTTGGGTTTGATTTTTACCCTGCCAGACTTGAGTGTGTTCCAGATATAATCCCTCATCCTCTCATCAGATACTTCTCCTCCGAGCTCCTTCTGCAGGGCCGTCAGCCACACCAGCACTTCCTGCAACAGAAAACAAGTTTTTACGTTTCCATCCATTTCATGAATATCATTATGTTATTAGTGCAACACAGTGAGGTGAGCACTTCAGTAAAATGCCAGGATTGGAGATGAAAATAAAACACAAATGAACTACAGAAGCCAGTTTAAATTCACATCATTTATTACCGTCATTAATGTCTTGTGATAATATTGTACAGAAGAGAAACTAAAATATAATAAAATTTTATGCCTTACTCTTTGAATGGGCTGAGAAAGTCATAAAAAAATCTCAAAATATCTTCTCTAAGTTTTAATGTACTTAGGAAATGGATATAATTTTTGTAATATAAAAAAAAAATTGGTCTGATGTAACTTTAGATGGTGAGAAAAAAATGTGTCTTTTTATTACCTTTAAATGTGGTTTCAATTGTAAATAACACTTTCCAAATGTAAACTTTAAATGAAACGTTAGATTGCATTTTATTCCACAACTTTGTAGTTTGAATATCAAGAACTTTCCAAACCTAGAAATTAAAGCATTTTTAAGTATTTCAAGCACTATGATACCATGAACCATGATAGCTGGAGAAACTTTGGCAATAAATTAATGAGGATATTATTTTAGCTAATGATTAATAATATGAAAACACTAGAAAGTTAATAAAATAAGTATAAAAATTAAAAACACTAAGGTAGGTAGTTTGAACCACGACATAAAAGTTTACTGTTGGTTAAAATGGAAATAAAAAGCTAAATTTCCTTCAGCAAGTAGCAAGAGAAGTCCATATAAATAAATCCTGAAATGTACGAAGTTACAACAAATACATAAAACTCACACAGTCTTTAAAATAAACCATTTAAAAAGCACTATGGGATTTGTCTCAATATATTTAGTACAAGTAAACATTATTGCAATATTATTATTGGAATAAGGTATTAATTATAGCAGTTTTTCTGAGGCTCCATTCTCAATCTACTTATTCGTTAGGTTTATTAGGGCCGACTTGTTTCATAAGAAAAATGTCTACACAAAAACAAAAAACATTTTGTACTGTTAAAGAATTTGATTCCAAGCTAAAAAAACGCCCCAAAAAAATCCTCTTTAATAATTATTAGTAACATCTTCATCATGCCTGTCCAGGGTTCCCGTCAGTGTATTTTAAGCCTGGCGGGCCACCAGGCTTTCCTTGTGCCTGTGCCCCTACCAAGCGAAGCATTGCTTGTTTATTTAAGTCTTTTTAAAATGTTTGCATTTTCTAAGATTTTATAGTTGGTATTCAGGTATTAATCTTTCAGTAACATAATTATCAAGTGAAATTTTCAAAATTTTGTGTCAACATTTTTTTAACTCAAAAACACGACAGGCTGATGGATGAATGAGTGCCGACGCTCCAACCACCAGGTTTAGCAGGTTTTCTGGGGGAAACCGCACTGCATGTTTATGAATTTGCTAACGGGGCAAACAGAGCAGGTTAAAAAGGCTACTTTAGATTAAGATGATAATATGTACGAACCTGATTGGCCAGGCCGTGGAGCGGACCGGCCAGACCGTTCATAGCTGCGCTGAAGGACAGGTAGGGATCGGACAGGGCGCTCCCTACTAGGTGGCTGGTGTGGGCGCTGACGTTGCCTCCTTCATGATCACTGGTGGAAAAAAAAAGAGAAACATCATCATCAGGAGGAAACTACACCTCAAACATGTTTGCATTCAAAATCAATACAATATTGATAAAGCATCGACTGATGGATTTCCTCAGTTGTAAACCGGACACCAATACAGAAAAAAGAAACTTCTTCCAAATAATTTGTAACTTGAATAAGCCGCATAACACTAACTTTAGTTGTTTAATCTTTATTGTTGCATCAACCTTCCAGACACCTCAAGTCCTCTGGTTCTGCTCTGCATCCCCAGAACCAGAACCAAACATGGAGAAGCAGCATTCAGCTTCTTTACACTGCAAGTCTGGAATAAACCTCCAGAAAACTGCCGAAACACTGAGTTCCTTTAAATCAAGGCTAAAAACCCAGCTATAAATGAAACATTTTGATGCGACGGCACTTGACAAATTGTAATACCTCAACTGTTGACCGTGTTGTAAGATTTTGTATTTTTATAATGTTGAACTGCCTTATTGCTGAAATATGCTAGATAAATAAACTCAATTAATTGATTCCCAGTGAAGCAAATTTCACAAACCAGTCACTATATTATATTGCAAATTTCAACACTTGAAGATAAGTAGACATGTGCAGTATGACGAATAAAACAACTGTTACAACTCTGATAGCCAGAGAACGATAACGGTAAGAAATGGAAAGAAATAAGTAGAAAAATACACAAATTAGAAGAACATTATTAAACAATTATAGGTTTGTCTATTGTAAGAGAGGATTACAAGGTTGGTTACTAAAAATAAAATACAATTTTCTTAGTGTCACATAGTTTACCCATAAACTAAATTCTTCAGTCTTGTTATTGAGAAAATGTTACTTTTTCCATTTTATAGACGTTATATCCATCCAGTCATCCAAGATTGGTTTGTCCTGTGAAAACCATTTTCTTATAATAATCTTTTTACTTGTTAATATAATAGTCATTAGATATTCGTTTCTCTGATATTCTCACCAAAATACCTGAACTTGCTCTCTAAAGGAATGTTCTGCTTTAAAATCTCTCGTAGGGCTTTTCAGTAACATTTTATCATTGGGCAGTCGCAAAAAAACATTTTTTTTCCCCTCATGTGTGGGTTTCATTTTGCAAATCCAGCTGAATTTGAAGCTTTTGGAGGGGAAAATGCTGCAGGTTAAATAAACGACCTGAAATGAAAGTGCTGAGCTTCTTTGCAAAGATAAGATCATGAGGGAAGTTAATGTTTCCTGAAGTTGCTTTTCCACAGAGCCTTTTCAAGTAACCAATATAGTTACCTTGGCTGGTTTTTTCCAAATCAGGAAATGAGGCCAAATTAGACAAAGCAGGTATAAATCTATCCTAGAACACAGAGCTGAAGAGGAGGAAGTGTGTTTTTGGACTAAAGCCAGAACCAAAAGTTGAGTTTTGTGACTGAATGTTGTTAAACTGAAAGAGCCGTTTATTTGTTGCAGGTGTTCGTATTTTCCACAGCCTCAGGTGACTGCATGAGGGTGTGGTCACATGTCAGGTACCTGATGCTGGCGTCACCACAAGGTAGTTGGGTGAGTGTGTTATTGTGCCAACGCGCTACTTCCTTCGAATGACTCACTAGAGACGAAATGCAGCACAGAAACCAACTCAGCTGGCAGCTTAAATTCATACTTTAACTCTACTGACAGGAGTAATTTGTATTTTTGCTTTCAATCGACATTCTAACTATTTTCTGACTGGCAGCAGAGGGACAAACACCCCCATCGAAGCCATTTTTAGGAATTACAAACAGAAACGTTGTGGTTTATAGCATATATGTTCCAAAATATAAAATACTCAAAGCTGTCCAGGATTGTGGATCATCCTGGTGAACGTTGATCGACCGTAAACTAACAAACGCTGTAGTTCAAATTGTTCTGAACTAAATGAACTCCGGTTGAATGAGCTGGTTTCTTTTTAAAAGATCTACCAGATGCATAGTCTGTATGTCATTGTTTTCAAACTAAATATAGTTTTACATCTATGTTTTAACATTTTTAATGACACTGTTGTGTAGTGAAAGTGTACATCTGTAAGTAACTGCTGACAACTGCCAGGAAGCTCTCGTAAAAGAGATTTTTTCATCTCTAAAAGTTTTTATTCTGGTAAATAAAAGTTGAAGAAGATCTAGAAATACATTTAATATTTTTAGAGACTACTGAAAATTATTAAAACATAAGATGCATAAAAAGCAAGTAGCTTTAGAAGAAGAGAAGCTAACTAAGGTTAGCCTAACTCAGCTCCTCAGTCCTGATTGTCCTGCTTTTTAATTTTTGTCATATAAAGAAAAATGTTGAGTCAAATACCAGCAGTTAAAAAAAAAACAGTCACAGCAACCAACTTCAATATGCCACATTCAGAACTTGCACCATAAAACTACCATTGTTAGTTTTAAATCTAACAAAAAGAAACCAGGTTTATGATGCATGAAGACATTTAATTTCCCACCTGTGGATGGTGAGGTAGAGCCTCATTAGCTCGGTGAACTGGACGTCACTGTAGCCCAGCATGTTGGTGAAATTGTGGGACCAGTCCAGGTTGGAGTCGATGGCCCCGATGCTGCTGCCTTCACGGTAAAGGTTGCGGTAGATCTTAGCAGCGATGCATGGCAGCTTGGCAATCAAGTCCATGGAGTCTTCATAGACGAACTAAGAAAAGCAACGCAAACGGTTGAGTTTCTCTTCCCATTTAAACAAATAAAGTGAAAAAGACTGGACAGAAACTTTGTGAAAAATTAATCAAGATTAGTGGCACTTCACCAAAAGAGTCTGCTATGTTGCACTCAGTCCCAGAGCCACCGTTTATCAGGACATGAAGTGTTGAGCAGATTTACACTCACCTCCCAGTACTTGGACTTGTGCACTCCCTCAGAGTACGCCCGGGCAAAGCTGCTCTCGCTGTTCAGAGCCGTGATGGCGGCACTGAACTGCGACATGGGGTGCAGGTTTGTGGGGAAGTTATCCAACATGGTGACAACGTGAGAGGGGAGTGCTGCTCTCTTCGCCCACTCTTTGGACACCCAGTTTACCTACAGGGACAAAACAAAGGTAAAACACTCAAACTCAGGATCAAGCAGCTGAAAGCCAACACTACAATCAGATAAAAGTAGCGTCTTATCAATGGTATTGATACTGTTCAAAGAGGTTAGTTGAAGCAATAAAATCTCAGTGACTTCAGCTTCAGTTTTTGTACAGTAGGTCAAAGTGCAACGACAGAAGGGCCATCTCTGGAACAGTTTTTGAAGTACATCATTTTATGGAAATACTAGCAGTGCGCTGATTGTAATTTTCTGGCCAATTGCTGATCTTTAAAATGCCTGACCTGCCAGTTTTTTTGTCTGAAATGTCGCCATCTAGGAAGTCACTGACTTGATGACAGGAGGGTGACTATTGTTAACTGGAAGCATGCAGACATGACGAGGTACGCCGGTCTGTCAGTCAAACCTCTCATGAGGGAGCAGAAAAGGACAGCGGCTGATTTTTAGACCTTTGGATAAGGTCAGTGGACAGGATCGGCTTCACATGTAAGCATCGACCGATCACCAATCTCCCAAAATAAAGGAAATCGTGAGGAAAACCATGACTCATTTCCAACTGCTGATAATCTATCACACTAGAACCAATCAAAAGTGTTTCCAACTTTTGTAATGATTAACTCGATCCCCATTCGAGGCTCCAAAAATCAATCAAAAAGCTATTCCCAAATAATCAGAGTTGTCTTACAGAAAGGAAGTGCATTTAAATGCTTACAGTCGTCTAAACTAAAGACGTTACTGCAAAAATTAAATATGAGTCATACTTAATTTGTGTATTTAAAAAAAGCTTCACAAAGCCTTTTTGTTTATATTTGGTTCCTGTTTCCTATGGTTGGATGCACTCATTATGTGTCGCTTCTTATTTGAATTCCAGTCATTTACAGTGAGGTGCTGTGTTATTATAGATGCACCAAATATATTTCTTTGAATAAACAACTTTGCTATCCTTGCTTGATCTTAAGGTGTCACTTATATCTCTAAGAAATTGGACGCTGACTAGTTAGCATGCCAGATTCTCCTTGTTCAAATCAACAGCATCTTTCGTGTTCCTCACCTGCTCCTCCGTTGGGACTTGTCCCGTTACCAGCAGCCAAAAGAGGCCTTCAGGCAGCGGCTCCGCACCTCCTGGAGCTTTAGGCAGCAACTTCTGACACTCTGGAATGCTGTAGCCTCTGAAACGGATGCCCTGCACACCAACACACACAGAGGACACAATGAACTCAAAAAATAAATAAAAACAAATATTCAGCAAGAGGTTTTCCTAAACAGCATAAAAATGTTGGGATTGGGCCGGTCACAAGAAGATAGATTGTCCCAGAAATTATTGAAATAAACAAACCATTTTCAAGTAATATATTGAAGATTGTATAATAACACAAGTTCACCCTCTCAAAGGCATTTTAAATGTCCAAAATAAAACACAATATCCAAATACAATAAATAAAAAAAGGAAATGAAAAACACACAAATAAAATGAATTATGAAGTGTCTGTAAACAAAACTGACCTTCAAAAAAAATTTAATCAGAATGCAAATCGAGTTCATTTTAACTTATGTGATTAATTGACAGGCTTAGTTGAAATGAAAAGTTTTAAATGTAACACAGCAGATGCATGTCAATAAGTTGTTTCTAAATTAATCTTGTGTAATACTGACATTTTCTTAAAAGCTACATTTTTAGTTTCCGTTAACTGTTCGCCATAGTACTGAAAGGGAGGTAAATAAAATACATTTCTACATGTATGATGGGTCACTTTTTGTTTTTAATTACTGCAATAAACCAGATTCTTGGACAACATTCACACTTATTGAGACGATTCCATATGGCTTCCAAATATCAATTTCAGGATTTTTTTTAAACTTGACTTTTAACAAACAAAATAAAACACAAATGCTTTTTTATGTTTGGACAGTTCATCTGGTATGGCCTGATCAATCGTTGTGCATTTGCAGGAACAATTGATCAACTAAAGATGTTTTAACATGTCAAACTGTCAAAACAAAAGGTTTTTGTTCAATAACAGCTGTTCACCTCTATGACCCTCATTTTCTGAAATGTTTTGTACTATAAAAAAAAAAAAAAAAAACCTTACCTCATCTGGATCCAACACAGATGTTTCATATACCAGCCCCTTCATCCCTCTCATTCCACCATAGACCTGTTAAATAATCATAACCACGGGGTTTTGAAAATCACCAGCATTAGGAGAAAAATAAAAACAGGCGAACTTGCTATAAAGAAATAAAACTAGACCACAAGACAATAAATTCCCCTGCAGTCCACCTGGAAACCGTCATCAAGCGTTATGGCAGTGCTGTAAATGTCTGAGTCTATACATGTTTGTTTGAGATCTGCAGAGATTTGGAGTGACTCAGCTGAAATCTCTGTTGGCAGGAATCAGTTCATACTGTGACCTCAGAGGCAGATGACCGCCCAGTGATACCTGACACAGTAAACCAGCCAGGACAGGACTAAATGGATTATGTACTGCAGCCACGGCATTATTAATCTCTGTCCTGGTCAAAAGCTGAGGCAGACCTTTCTAAATTAATATACAGAGTCAGATCTCCACCCCTCTCCTACTTTTAAAAGCAGAGAAGTCTTTACAGTTCCTTTACTATCTGCATCCATATTTACTTACTATAACATGTAAATGGCTGTTACTCACCATGTCAACAGTAATCTGACCTATGTTTGTTTTGCCATACTGTTGTTTAAAATTCTTAATCCTGGTCTGTTCTTTTGGGATGAGGTCTGCCAACACATCCTTCAGATTCTGGAGAGAGAAAAAAAGCAAAATTAATTTAACAAAACCCTTTATTTACTCTTATGTTAAACTAAAACACAAAAATAACAAGGATTAGAGTCTTCTCAACACTTTGGAGCAACAGAGGTTAGTAGTATCATGATATCATATATTTTTAAAGTGTTTTATGTATTATAATAAAAACAAGTGACAAGTGAGGACAGTTAAAATATTTATACTTACTGTGGTTGATGCAGTGGCATTCCTAGCTGCCACAAATAAGTACGTGGCATTCTGTGAATGAGACAAGCAGTAGAAAGACTGAATATAAATTTAAACTTTCCATCATCAGAAACCAAACATCTCCAAAGTAATAAAAACTTATGGAAACTAACTTTTTTTTTTTTTTGGCTTAAATGAAAAATAAAAAGTTAATTACAGCTCAGCAGAACTACAAATGCATTCACAGAGTTTAGTTGAATATTTTACACAGGATAAATGAGATGGATAATCTAACTTGTGGTTAGATGGTTGCTAAAAAAGCAAGTAGTCAAATCAAATAGCTACTATGTACTTTATCGATCCTGGTTTCTATTTTTAACTCGGTTATTCTGGTGTAGCAGGGAGGTAAAACTTTCCAACATTCAGTTTGTCAAATTAGATGATTATAAGCAGCAGGAAACGACTAAAAACACATTGAACATTTCAACTCTGATAATCAGATTCCTATTAAATAAATAAATATACTTTTAGAAGTCCGTTAGTGCATTCCTATGCACATTTCTACAGTTATTTTCCTACCCTGTTAAGCTGTTTTTAATACAGACTTGAATAATAAAATGTACTACATTTTTGCCTCTTTTGTAAATTGTTGTTTTTCCCCAGTTTTCTGCTGTTTTTCAAACTTTCAACTCAGTGCGAGACGTTACGACCGAATTTTGTTTGCCTCCTTTAATTTTCTGTTAACTTTCATATATTTTTCTGTTTATCAACTTTCTTCTCTGCGTTGTGTTTTTAGGATATTTATGAATAAATTGGGTTGATAGAAATTAACTAGTATTATTTTTTTATTAATGATTTATTATCGAATGTGTGCATCTTGTACACTCTACGTTTTGTGATTTTGATGCTGAAGAACTGACTTTTGTCAAATGTCAGATTACTTTATGTAAATAATATAAATAGTAATATTATTGTAAAAATAAAAATGTATACAATAATGAAAGGATATATTTAAAAACTACAGCAAAACTCTGCAAGCGTAAGCTATGCAAGCGTAAGCTATGCAAGCGCTTACTGGACTCTCAAATGTAACAATAGATGAGGAAAAACTATGGCAAAGTGCTCTGCTTCTCCCACAAGAACCCAACTGAGCAGGGTCAAGCCAAGGGTCTGCGAAACAAAAGGGAGGTTTTTGCATCACTACACACTCTTTACACAGCTGAGAGAAAGGTTGCACAACATTTCTACTAAGTGTTATGTATATGGAGCCGCTTAACGCAGAAGTGGAGAAACTACATTTCACAGAAAGGTTAATGGAGTCAGCATCCAAAAGGTTGTGTTTATAAGAAAACAAAAAAAAAAAAACATTACTAGCATTTAGCATTTTCTGTGGTTTACCAACAAAACAATCTGGTTTAGAAATGAAACACTGTCAATATTTAGATGCTGGTTAATTAGTGATGCACCAATCAACTGGAATGAGATCAAAATAGGCCAACTTTCCCCTGATCAGCATGTTAGATACTGAAAAATATATCTATTTCTTCCATTCAATGTACTTTTGTGAGTTTAATAATAAAGGCTGAGGAGAGATAATTTGATACACAAAGATAACCTTGTAAACTTTTGACTCTAAACTACATCTGCATATCTATAGCAATTTTTAAAAACGTATTAAACCTTTGAAATTTGCTTTCTGCCTTCTAAAAAAATTTCCTCCTCCCCTCTACCCCAAATACACTTTTAATAAAGAGAGTGAAGTTTTTTTGTCATTCTAGACTAAAAGTGTCTCACATAAGGTTGTTTTATGTCATAGCTGGAGTCATAAGATGTTATCTAACTGCAGAAAAAAGGCCAACTCATATTTTTTATCAGCTGAGATAACAGGTGATAAGCGAAGAAGTTAAATGTGCCAGAGGTCAGCTTCATCTATAAGGACACCAGACCAAGCAAGGTGGGAAACTACTTAGTCACCAGTTATATTCTTAAAGGAGAGGCATCTGTAAAGATACTGTAAATATTTCAGTAGGAAGTGACGCATAGAAATACAGGTAATTTTTGCCTTGTAAGGTCAGTAGAGTAGGACACAGCCACTGAAAGGTTTAAATTAGGGGTACTTGATCACAAACTGGCAGCAGTATAGCTGCCTTTCCAGAACTTCATCTGTTAAAATAATAAGATATTCGATTAACTATTAAACATATCTCCATTCTCAAATTGCGAGTCAGATAAGAGTGTATTCCTACCACGTTTACTTTGAATGACTGTGAGCACACAAGGAAGAACACATGTTTCTGCAGCACTGCTTATTAGATTCGTGTACGGTATGCTGCAAACCTTATCCTGGCACGGCATTAGACACAGCTGAAGTATTAATCTTAATGTGAAGGTCAACAGGGAAGAGGGATAATCACCAAGTTAAAAATCAGTCTAAAGGTAAATACATGGTAATGTAAACAATTAAAAGATCTAAGAGAAATAAACTGACTCTTAGAGGGCTTAGAGGTATGAAGGTCTGAGGAAACATGTCCAGGGTGAGACTTTAGCAGGCCAGCTTTACAAGAAAACCTCCCTCAAGCTAATATTTGCTGACAAGACGCGAGTTCCTATTACACAACCAAATTATGGAACAAGGGGAAAGGAAAACTACTGTTAAAATATTTGACAATGTTTGCGCAACAACCCCATAGAAAGTTCCCAAAAGTGTAGTACACACTCTGCCTGATAGTGCTGTGCTAGCTAACACCAGCTAGCCAGCTACTAGCATTGTTAGCAGCCTAACCGAAAGTTAGCTCGAAGATAACGTCAGCCGTTTGGACAAAAATACTACACGCCGTGTTTCTTATCGTCTTACCTTTGAATTGAGAAGTTTAGGCGCTAGCCTGCTGATAGTCAGGAAGGACATTGTGTCTATATCAAAGTGTTATTACTACTTCCTTTTTTTCTAACAAATGGAGCCACTGCCAGTGCACCACGGACCAGGTTGAAGGTGCCCCTCCAGAAACTAGAAGGTTGAAGAAGGATTCAGGCCTGTTACTCCCCGCTGTATTGATTGGATGATGCGCTGGATTGGTGGAATGACGTAGTTGGGTGTGATTGGTCAAAGTAGAGATAAGATAAATGTGATTGGATTGGGTCATCCTTGGGTTTGTGACGACAGGTTTAAACCATGGTCTGTCCATTTTCCCACTTATGTCTCTGGACAGAGACGGCAAAGACCTTTGGCTAACTTATCGTAGATCTCTATGAACAGGCTTTGAATTAAAATGTTAAATTATTTAATTTATTTCAGACATTCCACCAAGAGAAAAAAACACAAACAAAACAAAGGTAGTACTTACATATTCGGAATATGGTATTCCTAAGTGTAAATGCAGTTCTCATTTACATACCATGCACAATTCACCAAAGTACACAATTTATTTGGTGACTAAGGCTGAAATTAGTTGAGCTTATATAATCATACCCCTTTTCCATCTTTTCACCATACAGATGCAACAAATGAGTTTATGACTGGATGTAAATATGTAGTAAAATATCTACAATTTGAAAATGTATTTTTCTAAATTGGTCTGGGCATGACATAAAGGTGTATCCAAATACATTAGAATTTAATCAATAGATGACTTCACTTCTTTGATTATTTTTAAAAAAACTGCAACATAGTAAAGAACAACTTTCAACAGTTTTGTATGTTTATATTTATATAAGTTTGCATTTCTGTTAATTGTATAATTATGACTGTAAATAATAAAACTCAAAAACCAACTTCTTTTAATCTTGAATATGACTTAAAAACAATAAGAAAAAGACTTTTATTACAGAAATGTTGGCTCAGTAGAAGGTTGGAGACCCTTTTGCATAAATTACACCAGCTATGCGTGACATTAAGACAATCAGCCTGTGGGCTTTGCTGAGGTATTAAGGAAGCACTGTTGGCTTCAATAATGATCTTCAACTTGTTGGCTTTGGTGTCTCTAATCTTCCTCTTGAGCATGAAGGGCTCTAAAATTTCTGACATTGTCTCTGGTTCATTAGTGGTACCCCATGCCCTGGACACATCTAAGCACTTACTTCAGCTATAATCAATAACTTGTAAATCTCCCACAAACTCTTGAATGAGCTTTGTTTTACAATTTTCTGAAGTCTGCAGATGTCCTTGTTGTTTGTTCACCTATTAGCATATTTTTCCTTTCACCTAACCTTCCTTTAATTGGACATGCTTCTTTAGCAGAGACCTTTTGTGAGCGAGTGTTTACTGAACTCAATGAGTAGTCTTTCCAATGGTTGTTTAACCCAAAACGTAACATTTCTAAGCTAAAATATCATCAATATGTTTCAGATACCTGAAGGACAGAGTGCTTAATATATTCAGAAATGATACATAAAAATAAAAAGTAGGTTGTTAAAATGCTCAACATCTGCTATTTTTATCCAGTTGTGTTTTCTATTATCTTTTTACAGCGTTATAGATCCATTATAAATGCTGTCTACTTTTTGAAAACTACTTAAAAGATTTATTTGAAGTTAACTGAACAGAAAAAGACAGTTATCTGTTCATAAAGAGAAGAGTTAATTGCATATTTTGTTTCTCAATATTCATCCCATCAAATGAGACTACAAGCATGAGGAACAATAAAGGAATATTTTTATCAATTTGAGACCAAAATGTCTAGCTTTATTTTTGAGTGAGAATGGAGTTGCTGATGTTCTGGATTCATCCGAGTTCTTTTCCATTCGACAACATGCACACCTGGTAGTTGGATCCCTTTCGAAAGTTTTGACATAAAACCTGAACACTTTTTCCAAAGAAATAATTTAATCCTGCATTACACAATAAATGGTTAAAATGCCACAATGTATCAAAACAGAAATAATGCTTTTAGATACAGTGCACAGACACGTATACGTTCCTGTAACATATACTCACTTTTGAACTGGAGCATGGTATAAATAGTCTCTGTTGCATTTCAGTTGCATACTCATTGTTATTCACACAATGCAAACAAAACCAGAGGACAAAATCTGTAAAATGTATTTGGCACATTTAGAATGGTCTTCATCCTTAACGCAACACTGCATAATCCGGCAACACACTGTAAAAATGCAAAAAGAAAATGTGTATCTCAATAAATTAGAATATATTTGAAAAGTTGATTTATTTCAGTTATTCAAATAAAAAAAGTGAAACTCATACTTTGTATAGATTCATTATACACAGTGATTTATTTCAACATCATTTCTGTTTATTTAGATAATTGTGGTTTACAGCTAATGAAAACCTCAAAACTATGAGACCATTAAAAATGTTTTTTAAAACATGAATTTATGTAAAAATCATGTCATTATCTATAGAATCACACATAACTTGACAAATGTCCAGTAGATTTTCATTAATTCCCTCCTAAAGGAGTGTAAGTCACCAAAGGCCAATGCTGTTCACAGTGATGTATCCAAACATATTATTGGAAAATTGAGTGAAAGGAAAAGCTGTTCTAGAAAAAGAATGACTGGTGGGAGTCATGGCAACTACTGGTGTTAGTCCACAATGTTTAACGAAGTCCAAAGTCTGCAGTAAATCGGTGTGAGTTTCACTTTTTGAATTGAATCACTGAAATAATTTCACTTTTTGAAGATATTCTGACATTTACTTTTTGATGATAAACTAATCCATAGGGATGCAACCATAACTCAGACTGTAATCTGACATCATGCAGGTTACGAACAGACCAGTGTCCTTCCTGACTATCAGCAGGCTAGCACCTAAGTACCAAATACACTTTTGCTAAAGTTTTGGATTTACATTCATTTATTTAGTAACCATCCCAAGTATTTAGTTTTGTGTTAGGATGTTTCTTTTATGCGTCAGTTTCTACCTTCAACAGCACTCACTCGGCAGGTTTGGCACACTCTAAGCCAACTCTTCAAGAGTTATTGACTTGCAACTTTTAGATACATATGAGTTCCAGTACAGAGATCCATTACTGGGCCTCTGCAGAACTTGATTTCACACTGCGGAGGTCATTTAAAGGGGACTTATTCTGCTTCCTTTCAAACAAGGTAAGACAGCTCTCTGGGCTACACAAAACATGTTCATTACATATTTTTACATATTGGTGACATTTCACCATCTCATCTCATTTCACTGCAGAACGAGCTGTTAAAAGGCTCTGTCACTTTTATGCAAATTAATTACTGCTGGCCACGCCCCCAATATTTAGACTTGCTCTTTATACAAGTGAAAATGGCAACAAACAAATGTGCAATTTTCAACATTCTTGTCTTTTCCAGCAGCCATTGCAGAGAGCATACAGGAGTAAAACCAGCTGACCGAAGGTTTTCACTGTCTAATAATGAAGTGGGTGGAAATCCCCTTGGGTTGCTCAGTAACAGGGAAGTACCAGTCAACTGTGACTGTGACCTTGGAAAACAAGGTTTTTGAAACACCTTGTTTTCCAAATACCAAAAAAACATCAAATCATTTGACTGAGGACTGCCGAAGCAAGAATGCATCTAAAAGTTGAAGCACACCGGATTTCAAAACCTGACCTAAATAGAGGCCCCATCTCCAAATTTTGAAGACAAAACAAAAATCTTTGAAAAAAAAATGGCTCAAAATACATAATCAGCATCATGCAGCCGTTATGACATGCATGCTTTATAATCTTTGTAAACGTTTTGAGTCAGTGGCAGTCTCCCCCACATTGTCTCAAGTGAATTCTGTAAACAAACTCTTTCTCAAAACATACAACAAAACGGCTGAACTAATTGTGTGCAACATCATGTCGTACAGAACAACATTTTATCCAGAAGTTACAGGAGGTGATCTGATGCTTTTGGTCCCCACTCCTCTGCTCTAATTCCTGGTGACCTGACCCAATGAAATGCATAACCGGTGCATCCAGTCCTCATCATGAGTCCTTCAGGAGGGAGAGACAAAGGCCTCTGGGCTCAGTCGTCTTCCTCTTCTTCTTCCTCTGGGGCATCTAGAAGGGTGCTGTGTTTCAGGCAGTTTTGGAGGTAGTTCACCACAGTCCGCTGGAAATGTCTGACACTGCGGAGCTCTCTCAGGACGTGGCCCTCGTCCGGGTACAGCTGCAGGGAGTAGTTGGCCTCCACCTTCACCAGGCGGCTTAGTAGCTCAGCACTGTGCTGGAAGTGGACCCTCGCTTCGGTTGGAGACACAGAAAACATGAATCAGATGTGAGATTATTCCAAAAGTCGACCATATAAACTAGTGGAAACTCACCATCTGCAGTTCCATGCACAATGAGGAAGTTCTCCTCTTTTAGTTTGTTGACTTCTTCAAGGACAGATGCAGTCTGGGAAAACACATCATCATTACAGTGAAGTTTTATATAATTTAAAGCTGAAGTACTGTACTTTCAACACTGTAGGGCACACTGTTACTGAATGGTCTACTTTCGATCTCTTTTCATATATAAAGTGCACTGGGATACAAGGCGCATTAAGCGAAACAAAACAGTCAGTCAGTGAATCAAAGCATATTACTCCGCGACGCTCCTGACTACAGTAGCTGTAATGTAACAAAAACATTTTGACAGAGCGCCGTGAACCACATAAAATCACTGAGGTCAGTAAACACAGCCAGAATTAATCCATATTCATCACTAGAGGGCGCTGTTTTACTCCAGATGCACCAGATTACAAGGCCTTAAACCTTAAGAGCTTCTTATAGTCCAGGAAATACGGTATGTAACTTATATATTTTTATTTTATTTTTAATTTTTTTATATATTTGTTGAAACTGTCACTGCTATGTTGTGAATATATTCTATGAGACAGATAATCTGTGAAAATATTGAGTTCCTCTGCCTGCTTCCAGTGGCAACTAGGAATAACCAATCAGAGCCAAAAGGCGGGTCTTAGTGCTGTCAATCACTCTCTGTGTGGTGTTGCTCATCCCTCTTCTCTCTCCTATTGTCAGCCTTCATTGGTGGCCAGGCACAAACAGTTTTCCTGTTATGTTGAGTTGCTTCTCCACCATCAGCACATTGAGCAGAGAGTACAATCGGTTGATAGACAGCGCTAAGACCCTCCTCCTGGCTCTGATTGGTTGTTTTTGGTCAGGAGCGGTGCATTTCTTCAGACAACAATAGTGGCTGAGCGAGGACATGGAGAAGATCGATCTTTTCACAGATTATCTGTCTCATAACATACTGTCATGTTTTTTAACAAATATGTAAAAAACATGTTTTTTTATAAAAGATACACACCAGATTTGTAGATCACTGATTTCAAAAACATTCTTGGTTTTCAGCAATCCCAGTCTGACTGATGTGATGGACAGGAACACCTGAGAAATGTCTCTTATGGTGAGATATTATAGGTGCGTCTGAGCATTGTTGTTGTGTTTGCTGTTTAAACATGTATTGGTGGGCTGGCAGAGTCAACATGACATTCACAAAAAGTCTAAAACCCAATATTTCCTTGAAAAATATTTAATCAAATGCACCTAATAGATGTTTTGCTCCCTTCACAGGTGAGTGGTTGTAATATTGCAGCAAAGTCCCGATTTGAGACGTCTACACTGCTTTGTGTGCACTTCTCTAGATGTAGTACATTCATTCAATCCAATATGTTGTCAGACTGAAAAAAAAATACTGCGCACATCTGAGTTTTATAGGCTGCAATTCAACTGTTCTGCAAGCCGAGGCCCCAAAGGAAACAGTGGAATCGAATCAACTCCCTAAAACAATACAACTTTCAGGAAAACAAGATGCATTGCAGGTTGGTTTGTTGTCTTAGATTGTTTTAGGTTTGTTTGGTTAATTTAAAATTGAGTATCTGTCGAATAATTTAATATCCTTTAATTATAAAACTGAGGTGCTTTGCAAGAGTATTTCAGACATCTTGATCTCTCTCATTTTGTCACGATGCCACCACAAACTATGCCGTATTTTATTGGAATTTGATGAGACCAACGAACACAAAGTCACAAATAAGATTCTGGAAAGTGCAGCTAAAACTGTGCAGAACCACCTTTTGTTGCAGTCCCAGCTCAAGTCTGCAAATCTACAGACTGAAGCTTTTGGAAATATTTTTGCAAAAATGCATAACGCTTTCAAAGCTAACATACTGCTGTGCCACAAATTCTCACTTAGATGTAAAGTACAGGAGTTTGATTGCAACATTTTAAGATATGATGGATTTTCTTTCGGGATCACCATTTTCCAGTCATCTCTGACCAATTTTTAATGTCCGAAGAACATCATCCCCTCATCATATCTCCTAAAAGATGCAACGAGGAGACCTAACACTCAACATAATTCAAGTTCAGACTTTTGTGATGCTCACAATTAAATCCTTATTTTGGTACCCGTTACCAGAAAGGTTAAAAATGACTGAAATAAATGAATAAAATTATTTTAATAATGTGAATGGTGTGTTCAACTTCAAGTTCAGAATAATTTTCAATATAAAATATTTTTGGAGTTTGGTAACATTAGCATTAGCCACTTAGCTGCTCGTCTGATAAATTCCCATTCAAGTTTTTGTGAACCTTTCTTTTCAACTTAAGTTTAATTTTATAGCAGGTTTCAGCAACAGGGCAGTAAAAGGTGCTTTGCATCATAGAGTAAATAATTTATGAAACAAGCAGCAAACATTACTGATTACATCAAAATCATCAAATCAAAAACACATCAGATTTGTGGTGCATAAAAACTGAAACAGAATGCTGGTTCTCTACAGAGTTGACTTCTGAAGGTGATTTACTGCACAAAATATATCATTTAATCAAACAGATGGAAACAACATTATAGATGTTGAAAAGGTGTAAATCCTGCAAGGCAGTGGAGAACTTGTTTCATAACCTTACCATGTAAGCATGCTCCTCCTTTGCTGGAAACCCAAGATACCTTTCAGAAAACGCTGCACCTAAGAAACAAAAAACATTTTATCTGATTTTTGTTATACAACGTTTATTTCATTGAGGAAAATGTTTTAGTGTTTGTCAAGCCTGTCGCAATTACTCAAATAGTTGCATCATAAATTAAAACAAACTTGATCATTTTGCTTAAAGAGGATTCGAAATCTATTTTGTCTGTAGTTTCTGTTGTGTTTGGTTTTTATTCCTGGTTTATTTATTGATATTTTATTTTTATTTTGTATGCCTTTATCAATATGTTAACAAAAAATGGACTGAAAACAACAATAATATAAGTTATTGTACAAATTTCTGCTTCGTTTGTGTCTGAACTCACTGTAAAACCTGAAGTCCGTTATTGGTGCTACAGCTGCAGCGCATTGAAAGAGGTTGTCGGTTGCAGCTAACATTTTGAGCGCTAAATAACCTCCAAGTGCCTGAAATTATAACAAAAAGGAGGTAAACAGAGCTGCAGCTTTACAAAATCTGACATTTCATATCTAAAAACACTTTTATAACCTTTCCAAAAAGGGCTATCCGTCGATAGTCGATGTAAGGAAGCTGCATGAACCTGTGGAAGAACGAAATTGGATAGTTTAGCAGAGTTCAAGGAATTTAACACTTTAGTGCAGTGAAGTTTCACTGACTCTACAACTCGAAGGTAGTCTTTGACTCTCAGTGTGCCGAGCTTCCGGGGGTCAACGGCGACGGTCTTCTGGCCGCGGCCGACGCCGCTGCGGCCGTCCACCCAGGCCAAAGCCACGCTGTGCGTGCTGCAGAGGACCTGAGGCCAGCCGAGGGAAAACTCCTCCGTCACAGTCTGGCTGCCGGGCGTGCCGTCGCTGAGCGTTACAAGGAAAACAAGATAAGCAAGCTTGGTGATAAATGAACGCCTCTGTATGACTAAAAATATGTCATGAATCATAAAAGGAAGACGATTTTTCACCTGCATGTTCAGCAAGCGACACTTACACAATAATGAGTAGCGGGTGCAGGTTGGCCTCGTAGCCATGAGGCAGAGTCAGCTTCAGGTGCAGATCTGCAGGACGGAAATTTAATCACAACAACAATTTGCTAAATAAAATCAGAACGTGTCGAGGTTATGAAATGTCTGGCAAAAATATGGCTGTTAAATAACCAGATTTAAACTCATTATTGATGTAGGAAAATGTTTTTCTGAATTGTCTGTTGGTTTGCTTTAAACTCAGAAGTCTAACTTTTCATCTGTGTCAGAAATCTGACTTTTTCCCCCCTTTAAACCTGATTATATAAAAATTCTGTCTTTCAATTCAGAATCCTTTGATCACTAAAGATTCACGTCGGAATTCTTACATTTTTGATATTAAAAGTCAAAATTCTGAATTTGAGGTCAGAATTTTGACTTTAATGTAAGAATTCCCACTTTTTTCCCTTTAGATTTCCAAATAGTTTTTCTCAGAATTCTGACCTATTTTTTCTCAGATGTCAGATTTTTTTTCTCAGAACTAATTTTTTTTTTTTTTCAGAATTTTAATTTTTTTCAGGCAGAATCCAGATTTTTTTTAATTCAAAAAAAAAAAAAAAAACAGAATTCAGATTTTTTTTTATCCCTTCAGAATTCTGTTTTTCCTAAAGTATTAAGATTTTGCTCCTCAAAATGATTTTTCCCCTCAGAATTCTTTCTTAAATCTGAATTCTGATTTGTTCTTCTCAGAATTAAATTTTCTTCCTAGGAATTCAGATTTTTTTTCTCAGAATCCTGATTTTTTTCATCACAATTTTTACTTTAATCTCTAAAAATTTTAATCAGAATTCTTGAAAAAAAAGTCAGGATTCTCAGTTTAAATGGTAGAAGTCAAAAGTCACGGTTTTACTTCAAACTTCCATAGTAGTTGGATTAGTTTGTTTGGTTTTCATGAGGTCTGAATAGTGAATTATCAGACATGTATGTAGCTAAATAATATGAATGTTTTTCACCAATTCACAATCTGCTAAATCACACTTGATTACATCAACCTGTCCAAGGCCTGCAGGTGGAAATTAGCATTTTTGCCATTACCTTGTACCATGCATTCCTCCTTTTAAAGGTTTAAAAAAATGTTTTTCATTAGAAACAGTATAAAAGTTATAAAATGCCAGAACTCTGCACCATGATTGTCTGATTGGACTGTCTTGAACAGACTCTCCGGGAGCCTCTTGTCCTTCAGAGCTGCAGACAGCAGGCTGTTATCCTCCAAGACGACATAACCTGCACAGGACACACAACCAAAACGTCTTAGTTTCACTAAAAACACAAAGACAGACACTACAATACACTAATGCATTATATTCTTATTATATCAATGGTTATTGCTGAAGTTGGGAGTGACAGGCAGGTGGCGCTGTTCACAAATAAACCAAGCATTCGGGTTTATTTCGGGTCTGTTTTAAAACAGCGCCCTCTGCTGGCTGTGATGTGGAACTGCATTTGACACTTACTAGAGGGGTCCTTCATGCTGTGAACCGTCACTTTAGGGATTCCTGGGCCTGAAACGAAATTATAGAAAATGATGTAAAACCGAGGCGTGTGAAGTTATCCCATTTATCACAATTAAGTATTTATTTGAATTAACCAGGTCAGTTTTACATTCTCCTGGATTGGAGTATTTTTTTCATAACTACACAATATTTATGTTGAAATTTCACCCCTACTGTACAGCATTTTTATTCTTTATTCTGTTTTTATAGATATTTCTATATTTGATCATTCTGTGAGTCTATTTGCTGTTACAGCTCATCACTTTGCTGCTGCTGCACAGAGATTTCTCTTTTGTGGAACAACAAATAAATATCTATATTCTCTTTAGACTGCTTTGAAAGAGGGCTGTGACTTCCTGGATTTGTTGAAATTGTGTTATGTTAGAGCCACAGACTTTATTTTACTGGTACTTGTTTTTATAATAACTCAAAGTCATAGATGGTTATGAAGAGGACAGAGACAAGATACAATCAAAATGAGATAAAATCTTAAGAGTGTGGTGTGCTTTTTATTTTAGAGCTGTATGTCATTTGTGGTAAGTCTCCACCTACTTTTTGAATCGTGTAACAATTTTTTGAATGTTGTTCAAAAAGCTCAGTCAGAATACACGTTAAACAGTCTCTCAATAGGATTTAGGTTTGGACTTTGACTGGACCATTCCACATTGGATCTTAGTAACATAATAAAGAACCAACTAATGTTTTTATTATTTTTTTTATAGAAATTCCTTTAACATCATGGTATTAAATACATTATGTGACACATTACATTAATGAAAGAATATAGATATTTTTAGTGGAATAACTGCAGTAAATTTCCACAAAAACATGTCTCTAAAAAAATTAGTAATATTTTTTAGACCTTTTTTTTTCAGTATCAGCTTTATATGGCAGAATGGAGCTCAAACCTGATTTTTGGACTTCAAGCGCTCACAGCATACAGACATTTATATACAAATAAACTTTAGAGGAAAGAAAATAAATATTTTTCTATATCTTTTTCTACAAATAGTAAATAGTAGAAGAAAATCCATTCACTTTATTGCAAAAAAATGTTTTAAAAACTGAATAAAGTGATGGTTCTTTAAGCATGAGAACAAATTTTCTCAACTATTTATCAATAATGCATTAATATTTGCAGCTCTAAAGTTTTATTTAGCTGGACTGAGGGTAAAATTTATATTTTATCATTTTTCAGATTTTTAGTCATAAAAACATTTGCTTTTTATTTAAAAAAAGATCCTCTTTTTGTGTTAATGTGTCACATAAAACCCCTGTTTGTGTGTGGTTACCCAGGCAGTAGAGGATGAAGTGGGTTTGATTTGGACTGAAAATGGCTTTAAAGAATCCACATCCGTCAATGAGGCCACAGGAGATGCAGCGACGCTGAAACACTCCATTCAAATCCACACTTAAAGCAAAATAAAATAAAACGGGTTAGAGGCAGCATTTAGAGGGAAAGTTACAGAGTTTTTATTTGCTCCAGCAGATGTTTGGATTGTTTTTATAATACAAAATGAAACTATTTCGTCACATATTGTGTCAAAATGAATCAACATGAAACAAATGACAAAACCATGTTAGTTTAATTAACATGATGCTCCATAATGTGAGTTTGGTTTTGAAACACAAATCTGATGTGCTATGAAAAAGTATCTGCCTCCTTACAGATTTTCTCTATTTATTTTTTATATTTTAATAAATTTATCCAAACTGAGTGTTAAAAAGTAATCACCCTTCGCTGTAAAGGACATCTGGTCCAATCTTTTTAGCAGAATTATCCGAATTTATCAATGTTGGATGGTTTTGGAGCATTGATTACGTGTTTAAGCGAAAGCCGCAATATCTCAATCAGATTGGAGTGTGAACTTTGACTAGGCCACACTAAAACATTCATTTTTGTTGTTGTTTTCAGTGTTTTATAGTTGGACTCACTTGAATGCTTTCAAATTATTTGTATCCTGCGTAACAAATTTATGCTTCTAGTTATCAGGGTGTTTCGGATAGATTTATTGACAATAATATGAAATTATAATCTGAATACGGTTTTCTTTTTATTTTCTTTCTTTCTCTGATGATGTGAAACGTTTAAATATGACAAAAAAGTTAAAACTAAACCAGGGGAAAACAGGAAAGGGGGGTAAATACTTTTTTGCAGCACCATAGGAACTAATTCTCACAGAAATTCATGAAAATGTTGGAGTTTACACAGATTACATACTTATTGTGGAAACTGACAAATTGAAAACAAAACATTGGATGATTGTTGTTATTCTTCTGATTATTTATATGTCAAATATGTCAACTTTGTGACATATTTGATTAAAACTGTATAATTTTTACAGGAAGGAAGAAGAAATTAAAATTTCAAAATATATCAACCTGGATGTATGTCATGCAAAACTGAATTATGCATAATGAAAATACAACCTGTCTCCACCTGTTTGATTTATAATTAAAGAAATTGTGTTTATTCAGAAGGGATTTACCTGTAAAGGTGCCTGCTCTCTCTCGATTTTTCTGTGCTCAGAAAGTAGCTGAAAATGAGATCCAGATTTAAAAATCAAGTAAAAATCACATATTTTCCACATAATTATAAAGCTCTTTTAGAATGGAGCCAATGCTAAAACTTCATTTCTCTAAGATGCATTTATCAACATTTTGTTTTAGGAATGATTCAGTCGACATAAATAAAAACGGATAAAACAGAAATGAATCTGATTGAATTAAAACGGACAAATTAAACATCGGTTCATACAACATATAATTTATAATCTGTTTAAACAGCCAAGCTAAGATATGAATTAAAACATTTTGTTTTTATTTTGTTAATCCCAACAGATTCAGTTTTAATTTTCATCACTTCAAACTCAAACACTGCTTTATCGTCTATCAATCAACTGCTAATCCCAATAAAATATATTCTAGGTTGTAGCTGCGGAAAGGGCATGAATACTTTTGCAAGACTAAACGTTTTAAAAAAGCTGCAAAACTTTTTACTTATGTCACGGCTACAACTTTTTGCCAAGGTTTTAATGTCAAACTTTCAGGTGTTCCAGCTTCCTCCTTCAATCTGCATATAAATTATTCATGATCACAATCTATCGGCCCTCGTTTACATACTTCAACGGTCTAATAAAACCAGCTCTACACCCCGGCGTTTTCTCCGAGAAGCAACAGAGTGGAGTCGACTTCCCGCGTCTGTGTGAGTGTATGAAGAGTAATGAGATGTTTAGAGGCAACAAGCAGCGACAGCATGAGAGCCGAGCTGCTGACGAGAGACGGCTACTTTAACAGAGGGCTTTCCGAGCCCGGTCCGTCTGGGATTTATGCCCCCAGCAGGATAAAGGCAGGTTTAAGCAATAATCTGCTCGCCTCGTGTAATCCCCAAGTAATCCTTTGTCCTCTTTCCTGTCAGTGGTTTTACTACTTCAGTCTAAATCAAAGAGAGTTCCTTTAGTTTGTCAGCCCAGATCAATACTACATCCTCAGATTAGAGAGGCAATAAGTTAAGCAATTTAAAATTATCTCTTGATTAAAATGAGTTAAATTTGATAAACTAATAAGGTCTGGTTAGCCTTAAACCGTTTTTAGTGTTGTAGTTTGGCCGCCATCTAGCAGGGGGCGCCACTGGTCGTAAGCGGAACCAGATATAGTATTAAAGATGGCGGCGCTATACTAGATTGGGAAAGTAAAACAGTCCTAACAGAGTCTGCTGTTTACGACAGCAAAATAATCTGGCTATTGTAGATAAAAAACAAAAAAGGAGGAGTAAATTACTGCCAAAAATGTCAGAAATAAAAAATACTAGAAAATTTTTTAAATTAATCTTAGAGATTTTCTAGTAAAAAACAAAGAAATGTCTGAGTTCAAAAAGTCAAAAGCTTTCAACTATTTTACATTTTTGACTTTTGAAATTTCCATATTTTTACTAGAAAATTTCTGAGATTGATCTAAAAAATTCTTTTAGTTGAAATTTACTTCTTTTTTTTTTCTTCTAGCCAATCTGAAGGAAAAATCGGTGGAAATTTCAGATTTGAAAAAGTTACAAATTTGAATTGAAATATTCTAGAAAAAACATGGAAATATCTGAGTTTCAAAAGTAAAAATTTATGGAATTCTTAAACACAGAAATTTTCCAAAAGTTGAAAATTTGTGAATTTTTTAATTCCAAAATATTCTTGTTTCTGAAATTGATCTAAATAATTCTGTGTTTTTTTTTCTTAAATTAAATTTCTTTTTTTCTTTCTTTTCTATCTACGGAGATCCGTCGTAGGTGTGGGATGAAAAATGGACTTGATGCGGTTCTGTTCTGGAATCTAAACTCTGTACAAGCTCATTAATTTACCAACTTAATAGCGTTCATTGAGCCGAGCCTCATGGGGGAACAGCTTCAACGTTTAAACCAACAATTACTGATTGGCTATAAAGGCGAGGATTTGATGACAGAAAAGCAGAGGGCATAACGCAGAAAAAAAAAAATCTAACACCACAAAATAATGAAAATACAAGGAGGAAAAAAACAAAAAAGTCGTCACTGATGTGTAATTTTAAGGTTATATAAGTTTAATAATGTCAGAAAACCACAATTTTATGTTTATTCAGTCAGTATTTAACACAAAATATGTTCTAAAATTATCCTATTCTTTTTCTAAATTTGTATGAAATGTAGCCCTTCATGTTATGAAAAGACAGTTGGCCCTCTTGATACAAGCAAAAAACTCTGGTTTTTAACAAAATGGCTGCTTACTGATTAGTGGTTAGTTGAGCCATAAGATCAATCAACATTTGATTACCTTATAAATCGATAATTTCCATCCCTAGTTCAGCTTAATTTCTAACTACTTATATCAATTAAAAAGTCCAATAAGTCAGTTTCTACTCCACTAGTTGAAGGATTTAGATTAAAGTCTCTATTTAAAGCTAGATACGCTCATTTCAGTGACTGTAACTTTTGTGTTCACAGAAAGATTTCCCACTCAGTGCGGCTCCCACATACATCTTTCCAGCCTTCTCGTCTAAGGCGCAGAGCAAGGTGACATCCCAGCTCCCCGATGTCAAGAAGCGCGGGGGGACAGAGGGGATGGCAGGCTGCATTACACAGATACACAGAGATGAAGAGCAAAGCAGGAGCATTCACATACACAGAATAAAAATAGGAACAGCTGTACAGCAAGGTTCTGTCAGAGCATGGCAGGAGGAGCGGCATGGGTCGAAAATGGGAGATTCAATCAAAACACCGGTGGCTGTAGAGAGGATCCTGTTGGGTATTTTTATTATGAAGGCAGAAATCACAGTGGATGTGGGCCTCTGCAGAAATGGGAGAAACTTGTTGACAAAAAATAGAGCTTAGAAGTTATATATACAGCTCTGAAAAAAATTAAGAGACCACTTAAAATATCCAGTTTCTCTGATTTTACTTTTTGTAGGTTTATGTTTGAGTAACATGAACATTGTTATTTTATTCTATGAACTACTGACAATAAGTCATGAAATTACAAGCAAATTTTTTTTTATTTGTTTGCGGAAAATGAGAAATGGTCAAAATAACGAAAAAGATGCAGTGCTTTCAGACCTCAAACAATGCAAAGAAAACAAGTTCATATTCATTTAGAAACGGCAATACTAATGTTTCAACTGAGGAAGAGTTCAGAATCAATATTTGGAGGAAGAACCATGAGGTTTTCAATGGGGTTCAGAGCTGTGGGCTTTTTCCAGAGCTGCATATATAAATAACATTGAAGAGGAACTAAAATTCACATTTTGAACATTTTTTACTTCCATTTGAGTCTCTATTGCTTCTAAAAACACCCCCAAGTGCCTAAAAAAGTGACCCAGCCATTTTTGGCAATAAGTTAATGTTTTTGGTGTCAGGAAAATGAGCTGTTTCAAAAACCTTCAAAATGTAACATCACAAATCATCAGCAACTCCAGCAAAGCCCTCCTGGTTACCTAGCAACGAGCACATTTGGTCAGCCACCGTATGTGCTGTACAATGGCTGCTGGAAAAGACAAGTGGTTTGTTGTTGTTTTATCCCCTTGCTGCATTCTTTCTGCTTGTGCAGGAGGCTCTACTAAAGCTTTTCGAAGATGTTCGATTGTATAAATGCATGTGTTAGCAGCCATTTTCATGTATGCTAATGTAAATGTTGAGTTGGGAGCATGGCCAGCAGCAGCTTACTTTGATTTAAAGAGATAAGAGGCCATAAAACAGCTCATTCTGAAAGGAGTTCAAACTGAGCAGAATAAAATCTGATTGTCTAAGAATGATTTTGTGCAGAAAAAGGGATGAACATGTTTTTATGTGGACTACAGACTTATCCTAACCTGTTCAAGGAAGCATAATAGGTCTCAGTATGTAAAACCTAAAGACTTTATAAGTTTAAGAGCTAAATAAATAACAAATAACTTAATAAATTATTATTGTAACAACATATTTAACTGGGTAACTTAAAGAAGTTAAATCATTTTTGTCTAATCATGATTTTCAGCTCTAGTTTCTGACTTTTTACACCTAATCTTGCTTATATTTACACTCCCTTGTGATTAATGAGAGCATAACGACACAAAAGCATTTAATTTTACTTTCCAAAATGCACAATAAGCCAGTTTCAGACGGAGAATACCTAATCAGGAATGCAGCCAAGTTTAAATGTGTGGGGAAGAATGTATTTCCATATAGCTTATAGCTTTCCTGCATTATATTTGTTTAGTCACAAATCATGGAAAAATGAACACCCAAAGCAATTTCATCAAATAAATATATTAGATGGATACTTAAGACTTTTTAAAAGCCCCAAACTAAGATTAGCACATATAAGGCTTTTAAAAACCTCGGAGAAATTCTATGAAGTACAAAAACAAGGAAAATAGTATTTTCTTTACCTTTTAGGAATTTTTTTTAGTAAATTACATAAGGAAATAAATCATACACATTCCATTTTATATAGTATGCTTTCGCATTTTTTTCAATACATCCACAAACATAAATACTAAAAACAAAGCAAATACTTCAGGACTGAATAAATTTTATCCTAGAGAATAAAATAAAGCTTTACTGATGTAAATTTAAAAATCTGTACTTTTGTCAGACACAGTATAATAATGAAGGATGGAAAATTGCTGACCTGAACTGTCAGACCAGCAATGTGGTGAAACTCTCCACGAGCGCCTTGCTTTGCTGGAAGTATCGTATAAAACATTGAGCCGTCTGACGTAAACAAAGGCAAGTCCTGATGATAGAAGGTGAAAGGTTAAAGGAAACCCATGAGTAATTAAGGAGTAAAAAAACAAAGAAGGAAGATTTTCTAGAAGTACACACCTGTCGCTGGTTCTGCATCATGTCCATGGCCATTTTATGTTTCTATGGATTTCAGATGAAGTAGAAACATTTTTGTCATTTATTTCTAACCATTTTCCAAAAAAATTAAAGTTGCTAGTTAGAATAATCTTGTAAATAAATCAAACTCAGTTTAAATATAGTTTGTTATGTATAGAGCAGTGGTTCTTAACCTTTTTTTGAGGTACCGAACCCATCAGATTCATATGCGCATTCACTGAACCCTTCTGTCGTAATAAATAAAATGAGTTTTTTTCCAAATTCAAGACATAGGGGTGCCTCAACTGGAGTATAGTTGGGTCACCCCATGATCACTAAGTCTTCTTAAAAGGTAGAGTCTCTGAGAACAGTTCTTCAAAATACAGACAGTGTTTTCAGCAAAATTGAGCTGACTGTCCAGGAACGACCCAAATTTGCCACAGTTTCAACAGGTTGGCCATCGAGAGAAACTGGAACCACTTTAATGTCTCATTTAGATCATTTAATTAGCTCTACATTCTTAAGAGAATGAAAAATTAATAATAAATAATAAAGACTTTGCGGTATTCTGATTTAGTTATGTAATTATATGAGTTGTGTTATCACCCCCACGCCACTAGAGGCAGTAGCAACCCCGAAAAGATGCGACTAAGGAGCAGATTTAGAAGTACAGCGAAAGCTACAGAATTTGGTAAAAACGGTGAGTTTTGCTGAAGTAATTAAAGACCCAAGTTCAAATCCTTGCTGAGAGTGAAGCTCCTTCAATCAGTGCTCCTCCGTTACATTGGCTCAGCAATGTAACGTGATCCTCTGCAGCAAGTGATGGCAAAGCGGGGCGTCATCACGACTTTACGTGTGTCTTTACCTCCGCGGCAGAGGCTCCGCCGAACCCCTGGGGTTCGATCGAACCCAGGTTAAGAACAACATGCCATAGTCAGTTCTACGGTGTTTTGATACATTTTGGTCAATCAATAAAAACAACTTTCTTCATGCAAATGCCTCTGATGACATCACATTAGGCATGTTTTTAACAAAAATCATTCTTTGAAGGTAATTTACTCATGACATCTAAAAACACCAAAATATTTCAAGAAGAGTGCATGAATAACACTCCAACTGACAATAGGACCACAGCAGAGATTGGATGTGGCACCGATTTTCAAATCTTGCTGCAGAATCTTATTTGGGTCAAAAACAACCAATCAAAGCCAGGAGGAAGATCGTAGTGCTGTCAATCAAACACGTGTACGCGCTGCTGAAAGTGCTAATGGTAAAGAAACAAATTACCATTCCAGAAAAACTGTGGCAATGCCAACTAGCTTTAGCATTTGTGGCAGGCTATGTTGTGGTGAATCAGCTCAGTGATTGACAGCGGAAAACCCCTCCCCTTGGCTCTGATTGGTTGTTTCTGACAGAGTTGGTGTATTTCTGTAGTTAGCACTGGGAGAAGGAAGATTATTTGTCTTGTATTAATCTGTCATGATGATCATTTGAGAAACTTTTGTGGTTTATCACAAGAAATCTACTCACAAAACTACATTCTGAGTTAATTCTGGTACCTCTTGTGATGTCATCGACCCAAAACCACACACAGTATTATTCTTTGTTCTTTCTTTTGTACACCCTTCAAAAGCTTTGCATTTTATAAACTCCTGCAGTAAAAATCCATACTTCATTACCCAGATGTGTTTTTATTGTCAGAGCAACTTTTGTTGGTGAAAAAAACAAACAAACAAACAAGAAAAAAAAAACACCAGTGAATGGTATCTCTAAAGTAACTTTTTAAAGAAAGTTTAATAAAATTCTTTTTAATTATACATCACTGTCAGATTATTAAACCCAGCTTTAGATCATAAAACTGCATGAATTTCTTCAATATGAAAGTGGTGGAGTTCAGCAAATCACTGAAAATTCTTCTCATGCACTGAGCGACTTCAAATATTAATCCAGGCAGAACAAATCTGAGGGGTTCAGGAAATCAATCTCAACTCCCCAAACTGTGTAAATGAAGCAAAATTCTATTAAATCGCTATATTGCAGCAGAAAACCCTTCAGACTACTAATACAGAGAAAGCGACGGCTGCTCACCTCTGAGCATGCCCCCGTGGTGGCCTCGCACACGCAGAGCACTGATTGGTTCTGGGCACGGTTCAGCCAGCGAACCGCGAGCCGGGTGCTGCTGATCCAGCTCACCATGGAGATGTAGTTTTCCCTGAAGAGGTGATGCAGAAAATGATACGCGGAGGAAGAAAAAAAAATGATAAAGAGAAGCAGTGACTGGGAGCAGTTTCTGGACAGCGTAATCATCTCTGACAGGTGCTGTCTGAATTCATAGAGCTTTATTTTAAATTCGCAGAGATGTACCTGGACCTGAGGGAGTCGGGAGGCAGCATCTCCAGAGTGTGAGCTGGACCGTAAAGGTTCACTACAAACAGGCTGACTGTTGGGATACTGGAACCAGCCTGCAAGCACATGTAAGAAAAACAAATGGATAACATATGAGTCTATAACTGTTTATTGATAATTATTGATTCATTTTTTTTGTTTTAAATAAGTGAAGTACTGCCAAACTAGTGGGCCTGACTCTGTTTTACCCACAGTTCTCAATCCATGCCATTGTTTTTTTATTTTTAAGCAGATATGAGGCTCAGTGGCAAAACCTTTACCTGCTCAACAGGTCGTTGCTAGGTAACCAAGGAGTGAGTGAGTTGCTAGGTAACCAAGTAGCGAAGGATTTAGTTGATTCCACCAACCTACCATCGAAAGCTCTGGATTAGAGTTCAGTGAATATTTTCTATTTTGAATATTGAATATTGTGTCAGATCTATGGGTATTGATCATGTGTCTACTGCAATATATGGCGTCATTGATTTACTGTCCAGGCCTACATGAGCCAAAAATAAAAAAGTACTTGTGGGCCAAGAAAATAATTTAAAACATGCTTAAATTAAGCAAATAAAGTAGTAAATAATTATTTCTTATTATTCTGCAGGAAAATCATAGATTGAACACTTGAAAATGTTCACGTTTTCAGTATTATAAGAAAGATTTTTTTTTTTGGCTTTTTATTTGTAAATATGTTTTTTTTAAAATCAATACATATGTTTCCTTTCAGTTCATATTTTTGCAATACAACATGAATTGAAATTTGTGGCTTTTGACATGACAAAATCTTTAAAAAACTCAGGAGGAAGGAGTGCTTTACTTCAGCTGGTAAAAGAGCGGTGTTATCCTAACGCTGACGTTAGCATTGTGCTAAAAGCAATGTTACAGCCTCAGCGTATCCCCCAGGAGCTGCTGCTGCGACTCATTTCAACACAGTATTTACCTTTGGGTACGGAAAAATCATATTGGAAGGGTAGAGGCCTCCCAGGAAGTGAGGTATTTCCATCACAGGTGTCACGGAGTTGTTGATGCGGAGATATGCAAGCCGGGCACCGTCCATAGACCACCAGTGGGCAGCGTATGTCAGAAGCACCTCCTCTGTATTTGGAGGAATGCAAGATTTGCAGAGCGTTAAGTAAAGTGGTTTTACTTGTAATTGTGATCAGTAATTGTAAAGTAGCAGTTGTTGCCGACATTTGGAGACATCGTACCTTCGTAGGTCCAGTCAGAGAGTCCGTTCAGCACCTTCTGGTCCTCGTCAGTGGACGTGAGACGCAGCGAGTCGCTCGTCACGCTGGGCTTGTAGTAGATGTCTCCGTCAAACACAAAGGCCTGACGAATTGGGCACAAACAAAGGCTACGTTCATTTTTTTGTTGTTGTTGTTTAGTGAAATCTGATATTTTTTCTGCCTGGTCGTTCAAACTGCTAATTAAATCCGACCCTGAAAGGGTTACGTTTCAAAGCGATCCGCATGCGCAGAAGAAGAACGTTGACGTCACACAGCAGAGCACTGTTTACGGAAGTAATAATGGACAGAGCCGTTTATGGATCGATTTTTAAAGTTTATTCAGCAATGGGAGAATCGTCGTAAGATCACAGCAAAATAAAGGGAGCTAATAAAAAGAAATACCATTACGGAAATATATGTGCTTAATGGAAGGAGGCCAATTTCGAAATTTTTTGTTTTTGATAAAATGTTTTAGCGCTAGGAAGAGGCTTATTTAGCATCACAGGAGTTACATGATCAACAGCCGGATGTTACTACTACCGGAGAAAAGGACGAAGACGACGACAGGAAGTGTTAGGAGGATGGTGGTTCTTTTTTTTTTTTAAGACATTGTGCAGCTGGATCCAACAGAGTTCTCACAGCATCGCACAGTTCATAAAAATTATGTTTCATTCGAAAGTATTGAATCTCTTCTGTAAAATCGCAGACTACAATTTTACCAAAATGCTGCACGCGTAGCTTGTAGTTCCAATGCCTGAATAAATGATGAGCGCTATCATCAAGGCTGAACTATGAATATATCTCATGTTACTATTTACATCAAAGTTGCCATGAGTTTTAATGTTGTGTTGCGTGAACAAACTTATTTTCATGTGATTCGAATTTAAATTCTTATTTAATGGAAGCACTGCAATTACAAAATTGTGTTTTTTCAACATGATCAGACTATAGAGAAAGATTTGCGCCTATTTTTAATGGAAACACAACTTTTGACAGATTCACAAGTACATAAACATAAGTTTCATCCATTGTTTATGTCTTAATTCACCACATGTTGCTTCTTCTGGTGTAGAAATATGATGCATGTCTCACATCACATAACGTAAAAGTTGAATAAAGTCTGATATTCAGACTGCTGATGCGTTGAAAACAATTGGATATGTTTTAGCTCCACATATGGGAGTGGCACAGATTGGATTTTTTTGAGGGAATTGGTCCATTCAGACTGCAGTGAAAAAGACAGATATGGGTCACACATGGGCAATCATGTCACGCATTTGCCTGCTGTGTGAACGTAGCCAATTTGTCAAAGACTGCAAGGTTAGACTTTGCAGCTGGCTACCTGATTTGACTGGTGAATGCCTACCAAGTATGAATGAGTCATTGGCCAGCACAAACAGAGCTCAGAGCCAATACATCTTTACTTGGCAGCTAATGCAGTCCAGATAAACACTGACATCGCTACAAAAAGCAATTTACAGCAGAGGTACATGAATGACTGCGGCTCCAGTTCCTCTCTCCAGTTCCTTTCATCATATCACTGATGTTATGATGAAAATGTGTCAAATAGAGGACGACATGATAGTTAGATGGGGCAAGCTCTTAATCACATTGGCGGTTTTAGTTAATGGAGACAGCAGCACATTTATCTGGTGAATAAGTAAGCGTCTTGCTTACCAGCTGATTACCCTGGGGTCCCCAAGAAGCATACTGCAACTCTGTCGTCTCCCTCTCAGGAGGGCTAAGCTCCAGCAGATCCCTGGAACACACATAAAGGAAACCTGACATAACCAACTGTCTTTAGGGACAGCTGTCCTGCTTGAAGCCCTCTGAACTCCGTCCATGCCCTGCCCTTGAGAAAGCAGCAGTACTGACAGGACAAAAGAACGAGATGCAGAGAGGGAAAATGAAACTGAGAGTGGGGTTGTCTCATGCAGGACTGGGAGCATTTCTCTTTTTTTCATATTTACATTCTTCTCAGGCTGGCAAACATCTTCCAAGGCATACTCAGGCACTGACTTTTCTTCTTAAAATCCTTGACGTCTCTCTGACGTTTGCGGCATCACCCAAAGCCACATCATAAAAGTTCTTCCACTCATAATGCTTAAAACAAATCTCAGGCAGCGACATCAAAGGTACAATACTGCACAAACCGTACAATATGTTTGTTGATGGAACCTGGAAAGCACACTAACAGACAAATGCATGACTCAATGAGACGCACTTCGAGGGGGACATTTTTTTTTTTCCAAATCAAACTACAGATCTGCTTGCTTTGTTAATGCTCATGCCCCGTGCATCCCATGCATTTTGGCATTCACAGTTCCACCTACCCATTAGCCACACTGTAGATGGCATAGGAGGCTGTGAAGGACTGAGAAAACACCTGAAAGAGGTAGAGGATGTCATGCACAGAGGTGTGTTGCACACAGGTGAAAACACACATTTTAGATCACATGCTCCTTGCACACCAACATGAAGGGCTTGGCATTCTTACAATCTTCTAAATTTATTGCAAAGCAAGCTAGCTCTAACCTGCTAACTAAAATGTTAGTTGTGCTAAACCTAAAGCACTAAACATAAGTTCCACTAATGCTAAAGAGCTACACAAACATAGTAATTAGGGGAGGCTAATGTTAAAGTGCTAATCAAATATATAAGACCTGCTAATGGTAAAACGCTACACCAACATAGTAATTAGTGGAAGCTAATGCTACAGGCTTAATTTCAACCTTGTTTACACCCACCATGTGTCAAGACTCAACATGTTAGATATTTTTCTTTAGGCTGTAGCTTATTTGTTTGTTTTTTGTATCCTTGTCACTTTCTCAAAATTTCTTTTTTAAAGAAAAGGAGAATGTGAGGAGAGGAAATAGAACTATTACGTAAACAGACTTCAAAATAAGAGCATAAATAGAGCAAACCGTTTGAGGGATTCTGAAGAATCGATAATAAAAATTCCAACACAAATGTTGAACTTCATTCATCTGAAAGTTTACTAAACTAAAAATCAGTGCTGTAGAATTTAAGTGAAAAAATTTATTTAGGTGAAGCTAAGTGAGCTTAAACATTTTGAAACTTAAAAACGCTACAGAGCTAAGTGGAAAAATTAGCTCTGCTGTTAGCACATTAGACAATTAGCGTATAGGTTTTCCCAACATTGAATGGTTCACAATCCAAATGCCCTCAAAAGTAGAGATGCACTGAGTGACTGATATTGTTTATTTGTGCAAATCACAACACTCTTCAGTGTGGAAGTTGTTACTGTGGAAAGAAGAATCAAAGTTAGTGATTTTCTGTCACTGGGTGAAACTAGCTACTCTGAATTTGTTCATTCAGGCTGGAATCAACAGAGACAGTGTTTGGTGGATTCTGATTTCATACTTTTCTACTCTGAGTTGCTTGAAGCAGAAAACATCAATTATCAGTAACCTTGTCCGGGATGTTTTGTGAAGTTGGTGAACAACAGATAAGAGGAAGGCTTTCATTTTGAAGGATTTAACCTTGGTTTGAAATGTTGGCAGCATTTTAAAAAACAAATTAGATCTGATAAACTCCATCAACCAAGAAGATGATTTGTTCCGGCACACTGATCGCTGCTTTATCAGAAGCACATAACTTGGAGAACTCCTTGTAAGAACTGAAGGAGGCATTTCAGTCCGGATTTGAACGTCACTGAAACAATCACTTCTTTACGCCTAACTCACCATGAACACGCTCAAAGAAGTTACATTCACATTTCATCATTACTCTGATTGCAAGTGAATAGAAGAAATTTGCATCCTTGGGACTAAAAGATAAAAAATTAAAGGCATGACAAGAGAATAAAAAATAAAAGGGCATTCTGATTAAAGAGCATCATTATGGTCAATATTCCTCTCGTTGAATTGCATCGTGGCTGGCAGCTCTGACACAAGCATCAGTGGCTGCGAATGATTGAATTAACACGCTGAAGGAGACCACTGTGAGACTGAATCAATGAATTTGTGCACTTGAATCTGTTATTTTTTTCTCTGCTGATCTAAAGATCGTCAAATCAACTGGAGGTGATGCATTGATTTCCACCATTTTCCTCCGTTTTTCAGTCAAAGGGGTTGAGGCGGCGGTGTTACTCGCTGGCCTCTGGGAGACCCGGCCCTTTGGAAAACCAGCCCCAACAGAAATTAAATGTCACATCCTCTATGCAGCGCACTTAGCAGTGAAATTGGATTTTCTACAACATTGTTTGTCTGTTAGAAAATGCATGGCCTCGGTGGCTAAGGCGCAGAGGTATAAAAGAAAGAAGAAATCCATTCGGAGGCGGCCTCTAAATGAGACTGAAGTTTGATTGCGGGGTAAAAGTCAAAGGATGGAGGGCAGGAGTTACTATAGGGAGGAAGGAAGCTTTCTTGCAAGATGAAAAACGGCATCATCTGGTCAAACTTGAAGAAAAAAAAGGAGAGGAAAAGTGAGACAGGAAATTAAAGGGCACACGGAAGTGCCATCAGCATTGTGTTCAATCAGCTGTTTATCATTTGCTTAGAAACCTTGAGATTCTGCTTCCAATTTACCATCAGGAGGCCTCTGGCAGTCTCCGTGTTATTGTGGCTGTATGTGTGATAAACAGAAAGGGAGAAAGAGAGCATCTGTCTTGGAGAGGCAAAGAGAATCCTAATGTGAATGCCAGGAACAAATCATAAATCCTCCACTTCGCCGTGCCCGTCAGCCCCCCGCTTTACTTCTCACATCCAGGGTGCTGCCAAAACGTAGGAGAGGGGGGCTTTGCACACATTAAACACTCTGAAGACGTCGCAGGACAATGTGACGAAGGATATGAGGAGAGATCACAATAGGCTTTGAATAAGCACAGATATCTGGAGCTATTGTACAATTCACAATGTGCAGATAATAGCTTCCTCTCTACTCTACATTGTTCTTGCCTCACAAGCATTTTCCTAAAGCAGTGCAGCCTTTAATACAACAGCAGCACCTATCACTGTTTGCTGCAGAGAGCAGACAAAAAACTCCCATCGTGTTTTATTTCTGCACAAACCTGGCAGGATGCGGTTCAGCGGTTTCGGTGCATTAAATCCTTAAAAAGTATCATCCACTAAAAAATGTCTCCCCATCATTTAGAAACACCTGCAGGGCTTTGCAGAAGTATTTACACGGCTGGATCTTTCCTACATTTTGTCAAGTCACTGGATTTTAATCTGCTGGATTTTAAATAATCAACAAACAGAAAGTGGTGCATTATTATTATTATGAGTTTAAATCCCCAGAGAGTGTTTTGCATTTCTATTTAGCCCTCTTAAGTCGAAGCCATGTTTTGCTGAAATATTAGCAACGTCTACATCAGCTTTATGCATCTTCAGCTTGAATTGTTACCCCTAAACAAAAGCCAGTGTTACTAACAGCCTTCAGAAGTCATCTAACCAGTAAACGGCATCAAATCCAGGATGAAGTTCGGTTATAAAATTCAACATCTCACATCCAATTCCAGTTCTAAGTGCTAAAAATGGGAGGATTATAGAGAATCCAGAAATGGTCAAAGTAGCACTACTTCAACATATTTTTACTGATGTAAAAGTAAAAAGTTGACATCCAAGAAATTACTCAAGTAAGAGCAAAAAAGTATTTGGTAAAACATCAAAACATCAATTATTCAATATTTTAAAAAATTATATCATCAGCTAGACCAAAATGTAAAGTTAAGTGGAAATTTTGGTATTTTAAGGACCAAAATGACAATAATTCATATAAGTAACAAAAAAGATCAGGCAAAAGAAAATTTTTCCAAATCAGTTTCTTTCAGTGAAAAACTTATAAAACTTTAACAAAAACTGGTGAATTTTTGGTTAAAACATGTTTGTTTTTCATTCAGTGGGTAGAGAAAATGTTACTCAAGTAAGAGCAGAAATACTTTGTAATAAAATTACTCAAGTAAAAGTAAAAAGAACAACATGATAAAAATACTTGTAAAAGTAATTTTTTTTAAAAGTTACTCAAGTAAATGTAACTATGTGGCACAACTACAAACCTAAGCCAAAATGTGGCTGTCCACCAGAAATCAATCTTTCTGCCTGCATGAGATACATTATTTGTGACAGAAACTAGCTCTGCACATCATCCTCAACACCTCATGTGTTTCTTCAACCGGGAACAGGAGACTGGTCAGAGTTTATGAAAACACAGAAAACTAAGCACTCCTGGACAAAAAGGCGGCAAAAGGGCCTGGGGTTTGATGTTTAAAAGGAGAAAAATACAAAACATGGAAGGATTTATATCAAACTAGTGAAATTTCAGATATCCCTCTAACTGAGAATCTTTGTCAAGGTTTGTAAATTGATTTTTATGAATGTTATTTGTCCAATCTGTCTGAGATCGAGCTACTTTGTTAAGAAAAATCGGCAGAAAATGTTGTTTCCACATAAGCAGGAGACCAGCTGGTGCTTCTATAAAATATTCACTCAGGTTAGCAAAATGCAAACAACACATTCAGATTTTATTATGTATAAGAAAAGTTTCCACCCCATTCCCACACTGCAAAAACACAAAATCTTACCAAGTATTTCTGGTCCAGTATCAAGTGCAAATATCTTAGTAGACTTAAAATGAGACAAAACTAACTTCCACGTAACTTATTAGTAAGATATAGGAGCTTTTTTAAGTAAAACATTTTTGAATATAAAAAAAAAAAAAAAAAAACTAGTTCCACTGACTGTTTTTTCACTTGTATAAAGACATTTTTCCTATTTTGGATGGAAGAAACTCCCAGTGGAACTAGTACGTTTTGCTTTAGTGACTTAAAACAAGGTTGTTTATATTATTGAAAAGTTACTTTTAAGTTAGTTTTGTCCGATGTAAAACGAATAGACAATCATTCTTGGTAAAATTCTGAGTTTTTGCAGTGCAACTGTGTGCTAAGACTGTATGTTCTGGCCTACACTTCAAAACCTACCACGCAAAACCAAAAAAATCTCACCAAGTATTTTTGGTCTATAGTTTCTAGTGCAAATATTTTGGTAAACTTGAAATAAGACAAAACTAATTTGCAAGTAACTTTTCAGCAAGATGATTCAATAATTCCTTAATATCGATAAAAAAGTGCTTGTTATATAACAAGACATTTTAACTTATAACATGAAAAAAATGTCTTCTTCCACTGGCAGATTATTTCACTTCTAACTAGAACTTTTTCATTAAGATTAAGAAACTATTTACTTAAAACAAGCTCCTATTTCTTGCTGAAAATATATTTGTAAGTTATTTTTTTCTTATTTTAAGATATTTGCACTAGAAACTGGACCGAAAGGTTCTGTGTTTTTGCAGTGCAATATGATAAACCAAAGTTTGTGGTTGTAAATGTGACAAAATGTAAATGCATCTCATGGTATGAGGTTTCTGCAGCGTCCCCCTACTGTTTCCATATCCTCTACTCCCACACAAGCACCAACTCTGAAAACAAAGTGGCCTAAATCAAACAGGCTTCGATGAGAGACATTTCCCTGCAGGTAATCTGTTTTGTCTTGCTGTTTTGTGTCAAAATCCCGAACTAGCTTCTACACATTCTCTTTTATTTTAACAAAATCTATTTATTTTCAACCCAGCAGGCGCCACCCCTGCAAACCCTCCTGAGCTTTTACGAAATCCAATGAAGCCTTTTAACTTCACACGTCCATCCCTCTTCCTCGCACTTCTTCTCCTTCTTGCATCTCTGGCCGTCTTTGATAAACATCCCAACTGATTGTAAATGGGCAGCGTGTCTAAGGGCAAGCGGACCGTATCCCATTTATCGTACTCCCGACGCCGCCCTGAATGCACCGTTTTCTGTTTTTCCTCTGCCGCGAAGAGGAGAAGCCCGCCGCTCCTCTTCTGAACGCCAGAAACGGTGCTTGGCATAAAATGCTTCAGTCAGCGTAAATCCCCCCCCAAGAGATAGAAAAAAAAAGAAAAAAAGAAAAGTGAGCGGGAGTGAGGAAAATGAAGGAGGAGAGATGGGGAGACAGCTAGAGACAGACTGGGAGAGGAAGGGAGGATTCACAAACACAAAATGCAAATAGCCCATTTTCTGAGCAAACAGAATGCTTCCAGGTTATGTGCACCCAAGCTCATAAAATAGTGTGCTCATATCCTTGAGTTTGCAGAAGAAGAAGGAAAAAAAATCCTGCTGATATTAAAGGAAATATGGTAATGACTTGCTATAAATCAGCCAAGCAGAGTCCCAAAGATCTGAGCCCGTTTCCTTTCGTAGATTTGTGAAAAACAGATTGAATGTATGCATAACCGTTCAATAATTCAGTTAGTATGGAAGCTCTGTGTTTTGTGATGAATGCAGTAACACAGCAACAGGCTCATTCATTCCCCACACACAGAGAAAATCTGATACGCAGTGATTAGTTGGGGGAAGAAAAAAAAAGGAAACCCAGAGAGATACAGGAGACTGTGAGGCAGAACAAATGAGGGCAGGAGGAATCTTCTTGCAGGTTTTTAATAAAAATGTGGGAGAAAATGCGCCGAGGACTGTCATTTCCCTCTAATTTGGATCTCCTCTACCTCTGATTACTTGCTCATAACACAGCTTGTCTTCGCTTTGAGCAAACAACTTGCAACTATGCGGGAATTTGTGAGGTGAGGAGTTACAAGTGCTGGGAAACTGAAGTAAAGATCTAGTTTTTCCTCGCCTTATCTAAAACCACCTGCGATTGTGAGGCTCTGCATGTTCTTATTAAAATTCCCCACTGAACAGGCAGGGTTATTTCATTACCGCAGCTCCAACTTTACCTCTTCTTTGATCCCCCTCTTTCACTTCTTTGCACCTCTTCTGCTAAACACTTCACAGCGATCTCTCCTTCCTCTCTCCTTCCTCTCTACCCACTGCAATGAGCCAGTTTAAATATTCAACTCCTCATATGTTATCTCAGTCATTTGGAGGGTGGGTGTTACAGACTGCTGCAGCTGCAGAAACAGAGCTCACACACACACACACACACACACACACACACACACACACACACACACACACACACACACACACACACACACACACACACACACACACACACTCCTCAACCGTGTCCTTCATGCTCTTGCAGCTTCTCTGTGTTGTTTGATAGAAATTACACGCCACCTTTGTTTAACAGCCACAAGTGGCCTGTCAAGACGTGTGGAGCTTTGTTAGTGGAGAATCACTTGTCTTTAATATCTGAGGAAGATTTATGGCTGTGGATGTGTTCTGAATGCAAAACACTCGATAATGAAGTCTAGAGTCTATCCCAGGCCACTTTGCTGGCGATATCAAACTTACCGGTCGAATGTTATACGCCAAGAGGACAAACCTCTTGTCTGCAGACACCTGGAATTTAGATGAGGTCAGGTCCTGCAAGGCAGAATTAGGAGAAAATTAGGAGAAATTGTAAAACAAGAGTTTAAAAAAGTAAAAATGTACAAGAATGACCAGTACAGACAATGAAAATAACTTTTTTTATATACCGTCACCCATCTCTGTGCAATTATGAAGTCAGATTCTGTTAAAACATTACAAGACTTAATTTAGCAGTAATCTTTATTTAGTTTAACCCTAAACTAAATAAAGTTTAGATGACACAACCAAATTGGCAGTACCGTAACTCCACCACCTTCCAGCAGTTTCTGAAAGGAGAGACATTGCGCTTTCCAGCCGATATCGGATTATTACGGTAATTTCACTCCCACCATAGCAGGGAGTCAAATTAATCTGAGGGATGCTCTTTTAATAGACGATAAATTGCAAAACTAACTGCTAAATATTGAAAGTTATAGTTGTTATGGATAAATGGGCAAATATATAATTACTTACCGGACATTTAAAGAACTTTGTACAATTAAAATAGGCAAAAATATCCAGGTGGAGCTAAAAGCTAGCTGAAAGGGTTAAACGATGTTGTCGATAATGGCTGTCCTGAAAGGGATTTCTACAATCTGTACAACAAAGATGTCATAACGGTTTATGTAGTGATGGGTAGATGAGGCGTCATGTATCGTTTCGACACAGAATCGACAAACCCGTGTCGATTCTGTGTCGATACTGTGTCACTCAATACTGACACCTGCTGGACATTAAAAATTCCTACAGCCAACGTAGTGATTTGATGACCTCCTAGTCTATACAATAAGATTTAAGTCTTTGTATTTTATTGAATATTATATATTGTATTATGTCATATCTTCAGTTAAATTTAAAATATATTTGATATACAGTCAATAAAAAATTTGAACATAAAGTGAAAATTTAAGTGAATGTGTTTGGAATGAGGATGCATGGACCGTTTCTTTTTCCATACAGATTTTTATAAAAATGAAAAAAAAAAAAGTTTTTAGAACATTTTGAAATTTAGCCTGTTACGCTTTTTTGACAAAACTTCTCCTGCTGTAGAAAAAAATGAATTAAACACTACATTTACAGCGAACCCTTGTTTTTCTTAGGGGTTGCGTTCCGAAAATAACCCCTGATAGGCGAAATCCGTGAAGTAGTTACCTTTAGTTTTTACAATTTTTATACACCATAATTAAATACTCTACATTGAAACCAAAGAACAAACGCTGTTTTCAGGTCAGCGGATGTGCGTGTTCATCAATCGGGCCTTAATGTGATCTGGAGTCATGTCATTAAAGCGTCTCCTCCAACCTGCCCTGCGAGATTCACAGCTGTATCTACGGCAGAGCGATGGATCTCATCAAGCCTCTGGCCACAGCGTTNTTCCNACTGGCATTCAAAGTTTCAGTTTCCAATCTGTATTAAATACCGTAATGTATTTAATACAGGCACTCAGGTAGAGAAGAAGCGCGGAGACTGTTTTTACCAATCATACGATCAATCAGGACACAGAACACTGTGAAAAAAAAAAACTGCACAAAAAAATCTGGGAAGCAGCGATACCGTGAAAGGTGAACCGCGTTACAGCGAGGGATCACTGTATGCGAAATAATTTATAAAAAACAACTGAGTAATTTGTAAAATGGCTGTATATCTGAGTTTATCTAGGTGTATCTGGGACTTCATTCTCATGCCTCATAATGCCTCAGCATTGAGGAGGTGGATTTATTTAAATAAGACAGTTTAGTCAAACATATGCGACACTTAACCTGCAGAAGAACATAATATGAAAATAAACTAAGAGTCAGTTTCAGCTGAATTTGGATTCAGATAGATCAAGTAGAAACTGACAAGAACCGGATGAAATAACAAAAATGAAAACAAATTTATTTTCCAATATAAGATGAAAATGGTCCCACACTACTGCGGAAACCTTTCCTTTGAAGCTGCTCCGTAGTTGACGCTGTTCCGTAAAAGATCAAGAATTCGTTTGGCAAATGCATTTGACAGATTGACAGATTCGCTTCCTTATAAACACAGTTTGGCGCTTTAATGTCATTTCAAAACAGTTCCTGTATCGGTCACGTGACTTGCTGAAACCAATACGCGCACCGACACGAGTGTTGGTCTATGTGCTTGATATATGCGCCGACGCGTCGGTGTTGCTG